TATAGTTATCTATTTTTAGCATGGCTCTGGAACAGACACATTTTCTTGATCTTACTCAGTACACATTAATACCAAGTTTGCTCATGTTGCCGTATCTTTTTTTTAAATTGAATTTGAACTGCTTAATCTGAATAAAAATTCAGACTTACAGAAAGGTATAAGAACAGTCCCATGTACTCTTCATCTAGATTCACCACTGTGAGCATTTTGCTCATTTGCTTTCTTCCTCTCCACATGTATGAATATAAAATAAATGTTTGTTAATAACATAATTATATTACATAATAAACAAAGGAACATGATTATTAGCAAAAATATCTTAAATGCATGATTTTTATTCAGACTAAACAGTTTCAAAGTGTGGCAACATTAACAAATGATGTTTATAGCTTTAAAGTTTTTGCTAAATAACCGGAGAATAAAGTTGAAGAGATCATGACCTGTCGCCACAAAATTCTTCGTCATGTATCTCTTGACAAGAATATTCTTACCTAACTATAGCATAATAAAACTCAAGGAATTTAATACTAATACTATTATCTAATTGATAGTCTGTATTCAAATTTCTCTGAGTATCTCAATAAATGTCCTTGATTAGACTTCTTACCAGCCTGCCCCAGCCAGGACCTCCATGGCATTTAGTTATCACATCTCTTTAACCTCCTTTAAACTGGGACAGATTTTTGCCTTGTTGAGGGGGGTAGTCTTTCCTGACATCTGATTATTTCCTCACTATTCAATTCAGGTTTGCATTTTTGGCAGGAATTCTAGGTAAGTAATGTCGACTCGTTCTTAGAGACACTCCCACCAGATGAGACAACTACTGTCAGCAAGTTCCATTACTGGGGATGTTGACTTTGATCACTTAGTTCAGGTGGTGACTTCCAGATTTCTCCAATGAAGTCCTTTTTTTTAACCCCCGGTAATTAATAAGTAATGGAGCAAATATGTTGAGTGTATGTAAATAACCTGTTTCCCAACAAATTTCAAGCACTGATCTTAGCATCATGTGACCGCAGATGATTCTTGTCTGACTCCAATATTGCTAGGTGGTTGCAAAGCTCTACTATTCCTTTTACAGGCACTGTCATTATTCTTAAAAATCTGTATAGTTTTAAGATATAAAATACTGCCTAGTAAGACCTTCATAAAACAAAGTCCTTTCTTTCCTCTTTAGGTCAGTAGTTTCCCTGGTATATAGAAATTAGTCAGTTTTTGTTGATGACATCAATCATTAAAACATTTACTAAGCCCCAAGTCTGTGCTACACACAGTGCTAGCACTGGAAATATAAGCAAGAATAAAATGTCTCTTCACTGAAAGGGTTTATAATTCAGTAGTAGGTAAATAAATAAGTAAACATACTGCACTTGAGCTCATGAGAATGTTATGTCCTCGTCAACAATAATTACTGATCTTTTTCTCTTTGTCAATCTAAGAACAAAAGGACTTGTTTAGATGTTTATTCACTTGTAGGGAGATTTCGGATCTTTACAGTTTTTTTTTTTAAGATTTTAAAGTAATCCCTACACCCAGTGTGGGGCTTGACCCCACAACCCCTAGATCAAGAATCACATGTTCCACTGACTGAGCCAGCCAGGTGCTCCTATTTTTGGTCTTTCATGTGTCTTTTGTGAATCACTTCTATTCTTTGCCTATTTTTCTACTCGGGTATTTAATTCTTTCTTATTGATGTATAAAATCTGTTTACATAGTAGTAAAATTAGTCTTTTCTGTATTTTTCTGAACAATATTTTCTCCAGACTTGTTATTTGACTATGTAAATGGTATTTTGTATCAAAATGTTTTATTTTGTACTTAGTAAGACCTATATCAATTTATGATTACAAAAACATTCACATCAGTTTCCTTCTAGTACATTTTTCAGGAAAGATTTTATATTATTTATTGGCGAGAGCACATGAGAGTGAGAGAGAGAGAGAGAGAGAGAATGAACAGGGGTAAGGGGAAAGGGAGAAGCAGACTCCCCACTGAGCAAGGAGACAGATAGGGCTCAATCCCAGGACCTTGGGATCATGACCTGAGTGGAAGGTAGACGCTTAACTGACTGAGCCATCTAGGTGCCCCCTTCTTCTAGTACTTTTTTTTTTTTTTAAGGTTTTATTTATTTACTTGAGAGAGAGAGATCACAAGTAGGCAGAGAGGCAGGCAGAGAGAGGGGGGGAAGCCGGCCCGCTGCTGAGCAGAGAGCCTGATGTGGGGCTTGATCCTAGGAACCTGGGATCATGACCTGAGCTGAAGACAGAGGCTTAACCCACTGAGCCACCCAGGCGCCCCTCCTTCTTCTAGCACTTTTATGGATTCCTTTTTTTAAGTAGAAATCTATGATACAAAAGGGGAACAAATGACCCTAGCACCGTCTCAAGTTTCACAACAAAGCAGAAATGATTTCAAGTGACTTCAAAATCCAGAATTTTGATACTATATCCCAAGGACAAAAAGAACAGGAAAAGAAACTCCTAAATTGACTCTAGTTGTTTTAGTGTTAGTAAAACAATATCGATATTGTTATTTTGAAAATATTAAATACATAATGTTATATGTTAAAGCAAACGAGGGGCACCTGGGCAACTCAGTGGGTTAAAGCCTCTGCCTTCGGCTCAGGTCACGATCCCAGAGTCCTGGGATCGAGCCCCACATCGGGCTCTCTGCTCCGCAGGGAGCCTGCTTCCTCCTCTCTTCCTGCCTCTCTGCCTACTTGTGATCTCTGTCAAATAAATAAATAAAATATTAAAAAAAAAAAGCAAAGGAGTAATTGCATTAATGTTTTTAGGAAGCCAGATTGTCAGGGTAAAGGAATTCATTGTTTCAAAATATTTTTATATGTTATATATTTTTTTAAAAGACGCTGGGTAAAATTCTATGATTTCCCTCTGAATTGGAAATTTTAGCATAAAGAAAAAAGAAATTTTAGCATGAACTTATGTTATATTTTTTCTTTCTATAAAGATGTGATGGGGTGCCTGGGTGGCTCAGTCAGTTTCGTGGCCGACTCTCGGTTTCAGCTCAGGTCATGATCTCAGGGTCGTGAAATCGAGTTTGGTGTTGGGCTCTGTGCTGGGAATGGAGTCTGCTTAAGATTCTCTCTCTCCCTCTGCCCCTGTCCCCTCTAAAAAAAAGGTTGTAAAATACTTAAGTTACAGGGATGAAAAAGTACAGCACAGGAAATAGAGCCAATGACACTGCAATAACTTTGGTGACAGACGGTAACTAGACTTACTGTGGGGCTCACTTCATAATGTATAAAAATATGGAATCACTATGATTTACACCTGAAACTAACAGGATATTGTTTTAATCCTTTAAGTCTTCCTGGTGCTCTCTAATGCCTTTACTACATACTGTTCTGTATGCCGTGTGTGATTAAATAGTCCCCTACCTTCTTTGGGAATGGAATATGTCAGTGTTTCCTTCTTTCTCTGTGAAGAGCCAGATAGTAAATATTTTAGGCTTTGCAAGCCATACGGTCTGTGTGGCAACTACCTCAATCTTCTGTTGTAGCCCAAGAGCAGCCATAGACAATAAGTAAACAAAGAATGTGGCTGTCTTCCAATAAGATGTATTTAGTCACTGAAATTCAAATTTCATATAGTTTTCACTTATCACAAAGTATTATTCTTCCTTCAATTTTTTTCAACATTTAAAAAATGCCAAAACTATTCTCAGCTCACAGGCTGTGCAGAAACAGTGGGCTAGGTTTGGCTTACCACAGGCTTAAAAAAATGGAAAGTCAATTATTCTTATAGTATTTGTTTTTCACCTTCTTACTGCTACTCTATTTTTTTCAACACTCTCAGAGAGTGAATCATCCTATAAAAAGTAGACCCACATTTCTGGGTTTCTTAGAACCTAGGGGGTCTCCTGAAGGGCTGCCCTTAATGTTGTCCTGAGGGTGAATTCCTTCAATACAACTTTGTATCTTTGCTCCAATATCCTTCCCCACAGTATTGCCAGGTCTTGTCGCTTACAGAGAAGGTCATTAAAACCAGCTACTACCATTCATACTAAGCTATTCGTTGGAGTGGCCTTTTTTTTTTTTTTTTTTGAGTGTTGTTTAGAATAGTCAAAGAACCCAAACCAACTCATTAATAGGGCATTTGTTATAAAAATTATGGAATTCCTTAATAAATCCATGTAATTCTGTGTAGCCATTAGAAAGGATGAGGTCACCAGTATAGAATAATAGTATAATATGATAATAGTTCAGGTACTTAAACTGTGTAAAAAAACTTTTATTGATCCTGAATTAGTCCAAATGAAAAACAAGTGCTCACCACTGTCCTAGAAAAACTTCTTATTCTCCAAAGTTTTCTAGTCTTCCCATTAAATCTTTGAAGCCACATTTAAGGTCAGTCTAAATATACTCACAGATTTACTGAAAGACTAAAAATGGATTTAACCAGCAGGTACCAAAAGAGTTTTAGACTCTATTTTTATAATCTATCCTGAATTTTCAGGTGTACAGCTTGAAGATGGATATCATGTTCTGTTTAGTTTCAAGCTTTTGATACAGTAAAAAGTTGAAGTGTCCCACAGTTATGTTCCAAAGACTTACAGAGAGCTTTAGCATATCAAGGATAAAGGTATTCCACTCCTGAAGGCAAATCAATTATGATGAAATGACATTCTGTTCATAAATTACAAATTCAGGGCCAAAAAAACTACATCCTAAGGCCTAACCATCCGTAGAAAACCATTTGTGCATACTGAACAGAAGCTATTGGAGACGCTAAACATTTAATCCACAGACTACCTCAGGAGTCAGATCTCTACAATTTGTAGTTAAAATATCCTCACCAATTCTCCCTCCCGCAAATTCTTCATTAGAAATGACAAACAAGCAACTCTCAAAGTCCGCATGCTCAAAACCCACCACTTCCCAATACTTGCTTTATTATACACCAAACTTTATAGTATTCCTAGTATATGTCCTTTACTTACCAAATATTTTTAGCACTATTTGTCTAGCACTGTCAGATACTATTCTACATGCTTTATATTTACCTATTAAAATTTCATAACAACCTCTGAAGTAGGTGCTATTATTATCTCCATTTCACAGATGAGGAAACTAACATGGGACATTTAATTTTATGTACCCATTTGGCTAATCCATAGTACTCAGAGACTTGGTGAAACACGAACATAATTGTTGCTCTAAAGTTGAGTTTTAGATGAGATTAACATTTAGGTATACTTTTTTCTTTTTTAAAGATTTTATTTATTTATTTGACAGACAGAGATCACAAGTAGGCAGAGAGGCAGGCAGAGAGAGGGGAGGCAGGAGAAGCAGGTTCCCCGCCGAGCAGAGAGCCCTATCCCAGGACCCTGGGATCATGACTTGAGCTGAAGGAAGATGCTTTAACCCACTGAGCCACCCAGGCGCCCCACATTTAGGTATACTTTAAGTAAAAGCTGATGACCCTCCATAATCTAGGTGGGCCCCATCCAGTCAGTTGAAAGCATTAAAAGAAAAAAAGATCAAGGTATTGTCCTCCATACCCCCTATCCCCACCCCACCCCAAGTAGAAGGAATTCTGCTTCTACACTGCTTTCAGTCCTGAGTTACAACATCAACTATTCCCTGGGTCTATAGTCTGCTGGCTTATACTGCAAGATTACAGACTTGCCAACCATGACAATCCCATAGAACAATTCCTTAAATCTCCACCCTACACACACACACACACACACACACACACACACACACACACTCTATTAGTTCTTTTTCTCCACAGAACACTGGTCCATATGAAGTTACGGGAACTTGGCCAAAGTCATAAAGCTAGTAAGTGCAAAAGTTGTAATTCAAACCCAAGTACTCTAAACACAGAGACTGTATTCTTTTTTTTTTAAATATATATTTTTAAAGATTTATTTATTTATTTGACATAGAGAAAGAGGGAGAGAAAGCGCACAAGCAGGGGGAGCAGCAGGCAGAGGGAGAAAGAGAAGCAGGTTCTCTACTGAGCAGGGAGTATGATGCAGGGCTTGAACCAAGGACCCTGGGATCATGACGTGAGCCGAAGGCAGACGCTTAACCCACTGAGCCACTGACACACGCCTTAAAAATTTATTTTGGGGGTGCCCGGGTGGCTCAGGGGGTTGAGCGTCTGCTTTCAGCTCAGGTCGTGATCTCAGGGTCCTGGGATGGAGCCCCGCACAGGCTCTCTGCTCAGCGGGGAGCCTGCTTCCCCCTCTCTCTCTGCCTGTCTCTCCGCGTATTTGTGATCTCTCTCTCTCTCTCTCTCTGTGAAATAAATAAATAAATAATCTTTAAAAAATTATTTTTAAGTACTCTCTACACCCAATGAGGGGCTTGAATTCACAACCCTGAGATCAAGGGTTGGATGCTCTACTGGCTGAGCCAGCCAAGTGCCACCCCTACCACCTCAACTGTATTCTTAATTCAATGAATTTGGTGATTGCTAAATGATGAAAACAATGTAAAATTAATTACTTACCAAGTAGACATTGTTTGCTGACTGTAGTGAATAGTACAAATGGACAATGAAAGGACTTTTGCTTAGGGCTAAGGCATCCCTCTCAGCTTGTACCTGATGAGTCATATTTTTGTTGATCATATCTGCTTTTTTGACAACCTATGGTAGACAACATAACAATATATTCATTTTATTTTTTTATTACAAGAGTGTTCTCAGGTTTCGGAGTTGCCTTTGTGAAAACAACCAGAGATAGAAAGAACATAGATGTCCTTGTCATTGCCCTCAGGAACCGGTCAGAAAAAGAGCTAATATGGTAAACAGAACTAACATTTCTTCAGAGAACGGCTTATTTTAGCATCAAGTGGCATCGCATCCCTTTTGAGAAGGAAAAAGAAGTAAACACATGCTCCCCTAGTGCCCTACATATTTGTAGAAAAATAGTTCCATCCTACTAGTCTTATAACAAATTCAAAGGTAGTAATGTTCCTAATAAGCCCCCAGATAATCAGGAACCTAGGCACAGATAATTAGGAGCTAATAAATTTTCTTTAACTTCTGATTCTTTGATGGATGGGAATTGAATCAGAGAGAGGAAGAATATTGGAAGTTTGTTCGCCCAGGAAAAAAACCTTAATAGTTAAAACTACTGAAAGTTAACAATCTCAAATGCAGTCTTACAGAAAATAACAAACTACTCTTTTCAAGTTGCCAGGTAACTGGTACAGAAGCAAAACTGTAATATAATCTATATTAAGATTGGAGCACTAAACTGAACAGTCAGTAACATTGAGATCAGTTGTCAGAAAGATTAAAAGACATATTTCTTCCAGGGACTCATTAAGAGTAATAAAATCACTATTAATGTGTATAATTAATACACTATAAATTCCAGCCTTATATACTTTCCATAAGAAAACTGAGGGAAATTGACAAAGCCAGTCTGTAACGTGATTTTACCTGTCATTCCACTAGATTGGAAACTCTGTGAAGGCATGTTTGTTTTTGTGCAACACTGGACCCTAGACCCTACACACAAAAGGGATACTCAACAAATATTTATCGAAAAAATGAATTGGTATTTTTATTTCGACAACTGATAATGACTGATTAGGAAACAGAGTAGAAAGAAAAGCAAAAAATTGGTGGAACATATGAAGCAAGGAAGAATTAATTTCAATGGAGTGGGTCGGAAAGGTTAGGTAAGGTTTGAAGAGCGAAGCGATATGCGGCTCCATCCCGGGACTCCCAGGACTCCGGGATCAAGACCTGAGCGCTCAACTGACTGAGACACTTAGGC